GTCATGATGTCTTTTTTTAATGTTTTCTATGCAAAAATGCGTCATGACTTTTCTGACAACCCAATATATATATATATATATATATATATATATATTATGGTTACAGTTATAGCTATAGTTATGGTTATAGTTATCATTCAATATTATTCAACTTCAGCTTTAGGTGTGTAGTGCAGTGGTCAGGCATCTACACAGTCTATGAAATGTTCTTCCCAATCAGTCCAGTGCCCATAAAAATATGGACCGCTTCATGAATTTGTGTGTCATCTTTGTGCATGGGCCATGCTAGCCTTCTCTGTATTGTTCCAATATATGTGCTGCTGAAGTGAGCATAGCAATTCTATTTTTTATTTTTTTTAACCACCATGCTGTTTTCCATAGCAGATGTACCGTTTTACTTTCTACTAACAGTGCACAAGTGTTCAAATTTGAAACACCCCTTATTTAAAAAAAAGACAACAACAATTGAGAAAGCTTCAGATTTGAATTTGAAGAGTTTAGAGGCATCAGGCAGATGGCACTTTTGGTTGCTCCAACAGGTTTGAGCTGTGTAGGCTGTTAGAAAAGTCTTTGTCAGGGACCCACGCTTCTCAGGACTTACAAAGAGTTTTTAAAGAAATTAAACATAGTGAATGGGCCTTTGCTGACCACTTACTATACACTAGGTGGTTTACTTATGTTATTTAATGATCACAGTAGGTATTTTGCATTAGAAATGGGGCTCAGTGATGGAAAGTGACTAGCTAGAAAGTGGTAAAACCAGGATTTGAGCCTTGATCTACATGACTCCAAGGCCCATGCACCTTTCCCACAACAAAAGGCCAGAGGACTGGTGGACAGGAGAGGGTAGTGACCACTCTGCTGCCAGGGCTGGACTAATAAATAAATATGAAGCAGTCTGATTGACTCTGGGGACAGAGGACTGTGAAGATGGGAGTGGGATAGGGTACAGAGCTTTTCTTTCTGGCTCCACACATATTTCATTTTAATTTATTAAATATGAGTATCTCCTCTGCACCTAGCATAGTCGTAAGTGTTGGGGACACAAAGAAAGCTTCAGTATAATGCCTGCTCAAAATAAAGCAGATGCATATGCAACAGACTCTGATCTTATGAGTGAGGCAGAGTGACCTTAACATGAAGGTGGTTGTAAATAATGCATAGATAATTTTGCATAATTTTTGAGTCCAGAAAGCAGTCACTTTTCAATGGAAAATACTCGCTCTGGCAAATGGGTCTGAGAGACTCTTTCTTAGATAGGCCTAGATAGCCGGGCAAATAAACCCATTCGGTACAGATTTTTTTTTTTTTTTTGGTAACTCCAGCATACTGCATAATACTGTATTTACTAACAATGAAAGTCAGGAGAATCTGGGGACATTGACTGAGATCCTTTCCAACTAAGTTCCAGCAAAAAAGACAGTATCTCCATGTGGTTTGTTGACCATTTCTAAAACAGTGAGATTTGCACCAGGTCTTTAGTCATCTGTCCTGTATCAAGGTAGGCATGAGAGTAAGAAAGGAAAGAGGAGGTGATTGGGATCAGGTCAGGAGGCAGAGTTCCAGGGAAACACCCACTATTCAAAAGTTCTTCCATTTTGACCACTGCTGCTCTCTTTGACTGCTTCTGGATCTAGGCCCTCAGAGCTTGGCTTCAACATGGGAAACCAAGTAGGGTATACTGATGTTCTCCAGATTGCCAAAGGAGTCTATATATGAAGGAGGTTCATCTGGGGCACTGGTGCTTTCTGGGAGGTATTAAGCCAGCTCTATCAAGTCATTAGACTGAAAGCAAACTAAAGAAAAAGGCTATGTTACTCATATCGGATGCCCCTAACTCCAGCTGGGTATAGAATGCTTGACACTTAGTAGGTCATCAGTAAAGAGTTATGAAATGAGTTATATTTTTGGCTCTCTACAGAGTCTGCATGTCTTCATTACCCAATGTTGTGTGGAACCACCACCAACCAGGCCAGGAAAACCCTCCAGCCTTCAGGCCAATTACACTTTCCAGGGGTTCAGGCCACTGCTATTCCTCAGCTGATTGCCTCTGATGTTGGACCCATCCTGTCTGGAAGGGACAAAGTGCCTTCTGATTTAAATTCCCACCAGCAAGGACACAGTCATGCTCCTGTGGTGCCAACCCCTTCCTATTTGTCCCCCACAGGACCCAACAGCCCCTGTTTTTATATCACAGCCTCTGATCCCAACAACCAGGAGATGGAGGGTAAGACTGAAAATCCACCCAAACAGATTTCTTGATTGAATGTAAAGAGGTCAGCAGAAATATGATCATGGTGATACAATCCAGGCCCCACTGCTGGCCCATCCTGAAGCCTCTTGAGGCCAGAGTGGGATTTTTTACTAGTCTGATGTTTCAATGGAAAGTCTTAGCTACATTGGCACTCAACAATGGCGTCCCAGAGTTTCCAAAGGAGATGTTTCCCTTATTCCCTTGGTGCAGAGGGGTCATTAGAAGTCCGTAGATAGTTTCTTCTTTCCAGAAGGATGAAATGAAGATGTTGGAGCTGGGGCGAAGAGTTGTTTTCTTCAAATGCAATAGGAGGAAGACCTCAAGTTCCAAGTTCTGGGAGATGCATTAAGTCTTCAAATTTTCCTTCAAATAAGAATAAGACAGAGAAGAACCTTACTCTTTTAATGATAGCATCTCTTTTTTTAACTGTGTATTTACTGCATGCCTGGTATTGTTATGATGATGCCGTGATGGATTCCTGAGGGTCACCTTCTAGAACGGTTAAGTGTATTTGAGTTGGCAAAGGGGATTGGTTCAGGGAAAAATACCTAAATGAGGAAGACAGCAGAGGAGATAACCTGAAATCTGAAGCCCAGATGGTTTGGTCACTCAGGGACTCAATGCATGACACCCATCTTTGTTCTGCAAATGAGCCAAGAATAATGGTGTCCCTCAGATTGTGCTGTGGACTGTTGGAA